TTGGCAGTAAGATGACAAACAGCTTTGACTTGAGCCAAAAAACCTGAGCTCACGCCAACCAGCGTAAAGTAGAACTTAGAATTTGCCTAAAATTGCAGATCTCGAGATAGCCCTTCTTTGCCTTTTCTACTGCATTGGAAACGATCATTGAAATGCGCGATAACTATTAAGTATGTGTGAATTTTAAGGGGGTTTAAAACAAAATCACACATACTTAATAGTTTTACTCTTTACTTGCTTATTAGTGTTACATAAATTGTAAGCAAAGGTCATCGCCAGATAAAATTTCGTTCAAATTATAAAGGTCGGCTAAATCCAGTTCTGTGGATCGAAAATATTTTGCAGGCTAACTACTTTATAAAAAATGAACACAAACACTCAATACCTCAACATACACAAACATGCATATATATACATATATATATATATATATATATATATATATATATATATATATATGATGAAAAAATTTAGACCACCATCTTAGAAACATTTAGAGTGGTGAAACTGAATTCAAATACCCGAGCTCACTTGGTTTAAACGATTAAGGTGGAACTATTAGCCCACAGTCAAGGTGAGACGAATAGGCAAGCAATATGGAAGTGAATGCAACTTAATAAGTGAATTTTGAAGAAGTAAGTAAGATGAAGTCATTGCTAAACAGCCTCATATAGAAATTTAACGAATATCTTGTTTATTTATGCCCGTAAGCGCGCGGGTGGCGCAGGCTTAAATGTTCAGATCCGTGGACAAAGGGGTCACGAATTCGATAAATACCAGTGCATGGCCAGTGAACTCGAAGCGAGGCTGATTACATTAATAACGGTATTAAGTTTTAAGGACAATTTCTCCGAAATAACCCCCCCCCCCACCACCACCACCACCCCACCCTCTCAATAATTTATTTATTTATATCAAATGGCAGGCGTTTTGATAGTTATCATTAGCCTTTTAGTTGACTTCAGGCTTCACAGAGAGGAGGTGGAACATCAAAGTGACAAAAAGTCGAGAATGGGGAAAAGAAGAGTGATTCACAGATGTAAAAGGGACAGACAGAGAAAAGTTAAGATGTGTACTATGGAAGGGGTCGAATATTACAAATAGTCGGGTCATAGTAATTTGAAGTCAGAATTCAACTGCCAGTTAATAGACTCTTTTGCCGTATAAGTATACGTTGCCCAGGGTGCACCACGTGGAGGTAAGTCTATTGGGCACCCCCCCCCCCCTCTCAATAATAAAACCACCGAGAACACACCGCTGAAATCAGTCCAAAATGTGACTACCCTTCCGACTTCCAGCTTTGAGAGTTAGTTGGGCATTTAGACATCCTATACCGCAGCCTAAACCCATAGATAGTTTTAAATGCACTAACAACTACAAAGATCGGGTGGTTGAGCCCAAGGTTTTTCAAGTTGCGGCTCTCGAACGCCAACTGTTTACACAGGACAAATACTAAAACTTGAGAATTAAAATTGTGGAAATAATAAATATATTTGCATCATACTGCTAGGAAACCAATACGAATATTTGCGTGGCAATCGCAAGAAACTCCCATACACCGGATTTTCTATGCAATTGAACTTCAAAACTCACACTTGGGTATGTAATTCCATCCATGCAGAAAGCGTTCTCGAAATTACTGGCTAACGAGAAGTCAGACATTTGACACTTATTCAAGCTTATATATAAATAAATATACATCTCTAATAAAATCTCGTCTCTTTACCATTGCGTTGGCTATGAGTAGCTAGAGAGTAAAGAAAAGGAGATCGTCGGCGAATTGAAAAACTGAATGACCACACACAAGAGTAGTTGCTTACAAAGAGTAACCCAATCCAAAAACAATTATTACTGTGTCCATAAACAAATTACATTGTGAATAAAAATACGAATTAGAAAAGTGAAAGGAAGGTAATAACACTGTTACAGAAACGAAAAGTAAGAATTCCTTTCAGGACTACTTTCCACCTAATTATATTTTAGCCATATTAAACCTTTTATTTCATTTGAAGATCTTTACACAGGTCGTCTTTAATGCTTATTTCTATTTTCACAACGGAAGATAAATGCACTCTATTTGTATCCTACAAAAATCAGGCAAATGGGAAAGACACAGGTATCATTAAGCAGAAGTTTGATCTGTTCCTAACAAAAAATTGTAATTTGTAGCGGATTGCTACGCTAGTAAAGCCTGACCGACTCAGTGGCAGATTCTCCAACATCTAGTTAGACTCCCGGAACAGGCTAAGCTATAGCCCAGCTATAAGGGAAACAGACGTGTAGCACGGCGCACGTTTATTCCGTACATATATTGATAGCGAAGTGTGTCATTTTGGCAAAACGATTAGTTATCAGATAAATCTAGCATGATTCGTAAATGGGAAAGACACAGGTATCATTAAGCGGAAGTTATATCTGTTCCTAACAAAAAAACAGTAACAGTAACAAAAAATTGAGAGACTTCGAACTTTTTAGATATGAATATAAAAAAGGAAAAAAATGCTAAATTCGGGAAAAAATATTTTTTTTCGTAGAAAATTAAATTAAGTAGATCGTGTGAATAATAGTAATTCATTGAAAGAAATTAAGAAAATGGAGAAAATGGAAGAAAATGAAAATAAAGTTCGACAAATAAACCAAAATTACCTGATCAGAATGAAAATCCTGAACAGTGACACCTTCAACAGAGATAGTGAGACGAACACTTTGACGAGTCCAGGCAAGATCAGTACCCCTTCCGATGAATTTCGAGAGACCGTTGCTTGAAACAGGTCGAGCAGGGGGAATACGAAGCCCGACATCTTCACAAACACGAATTATACATTCCCGAGTGATCTGAGTTCGTTCCTGGAAGCTGAGGGACTTAAAGGAGATAGTGACCGGAATACAGCCCACATACTGAATTAAGAACGTTTTTAAGACCGAAGAATCACTCATTATTGAGCCTATAAATCAAAATCAAAAGACACAGAACACTCCAAACTAAGCAGTTCAAAGAAAAGAATTTACACTAAAAAATCTTTAATTAAATATAAACGATATAATAAGACTTGATCTATAAATATCATAGAACGAAATTACCAAATAAATTAATTTTTGTAAAACAATTAGATAAATTTATGGATTTTTCATATAACAACAATGAATAAATCGCTCTATCAAAGAGGAAAATGAATAACGAAGAAAATCAAGAAATACCGATTGGTTTTCATTAGTCTTTGTATAACTGGGTTTGGTTCGAAGACTTTAAACAATTAAAGGTGATTTTGACATTTATTTTGAAAAATGCTTATAGAGCACAATAATTTTAATAATTGAAAAGTTTTGCAGTAATAAAATAATGATATTTTAATTTGTGTTTTATTTCGTATGAAGTATTTCCATTTGAATGCAAGAATTTTTGGGTAGGCGAATCAAACATACATCCGTGTGTAGTTAGCAAACACGTATTTACTTGCAGTTTAGTCATTTTTTCTTTATTTCAAAAATAAATTTTGTAGTTTAGTTTGAAAAGGCCATCTCTACCATATTTATGCACGTCTTTAGTTAGGTTTGGGTTTTATGCAAAATTTTACCACGCAATAAAGAAAGTTGTTATGTACTAATGAAGTTATGATTGAAATTTCATTTCATTTTCCTTCCATTCTTATATTAGACGTTATGTTCAGTCAGACATATTGTAAGATTGTACTTCAAAATAGTGTTAACGTTTATCAAAGGTATGTACTAAGTATAAATGGCAATAATTTTTAGACATTTCTTATTATTCAAACTTGAATAAGTTTGTATGAAATTATATTTTAAGTAATGCGTGATGTGGACAAAATTACGTAAATTATACAGGTTTTGAAAATTGTTTAAGATAACAAAATTTTAATCCATTCCTATTTACCCAACAAAGTATAAGCCCGAACAAGTTTTATGTCAATTCAAAGAAATAAATGTAGCCTTCGTGTTTGGGTTTGTAGCGGATTGCTGCTTTATTAAAGCCTAACTGACTCAGAAATCTCTATGGCAG